CAAGATATTTAATGAGTTTTGTGAACGCACCCGTAAGATGTCCTAGTGGATATACATTGACGTTAGTTGGTTGTTTACAACTGAATAGTGAACCGAAAAGAATGTTGGGAAAAAGAAGTAGTAATAAACATTTTTATATACGGAAACATAAGAAAAATAATTCCAATTCTATTATTATTAAAAACAGACATCCAGTGATATGAGTATAACCATTTTGTTTTTGATTTTATGTTACTGCCGAGTTGTTAAAGAGAATGTAATTAAAAAAATATGGAAATATCTTTCGACAATCTTAATTTTTTTTTTTATTTAATTAACCAACAGTTTTCCTTCCAATAAAATATTCAAACTTTCGTACGACTTTATAATTAATTTATATAAAAACGGCTAAACACTCACGTACATATATTAGTCCCTTCATTAGGGTGAGTGGGGCTGGTATTAGTTTGAGCGACGGGCCGCGTCCCCGAAATAATACCAGTCCCTCTCACCCTGATGAAGGGCCCCCGATGGACTCGAAACTAGTCGGTGCCGCCACCGGACGAATATACGTGAGTGTTTAGACGTTTTTATATAAGTTTTCCTACTAGTATTATATATTAAAGTGTTATTTAAGACAAAGAGTCCCAAGTAAGGATGACGAGAGGCAGACTGCCGGCCGTAAAAACTAAGTTAAAACATAACATAACGGAACTCCTTTTAATAACATATTTTAGTGAATTATTACTTTTTTTTTAAAATTTTATTTCATATCATAGATTTAAGATTTATAATAACTGACAATCAAATATTATGCAAGTCAACATAAGTTACGTATTCTTGGCAAATTTAAACAATATGGTGTTAATTGTAAATCATTTCAAACAAAGAAGTTAAAACATTGAGGTTGGTAACCTCGTGCGAACACCACGTGAGTGGGATATAAACGGGGTAATTAACAATAAATTCTATTTAAATGACGTTAATAATAAAATAAATATTTTCCTATATATTTTTCTTCCTTTTTTTGTATTATTCCTTTGATATACGGAAATATATTAAGTAAAAATTACTCGTGGTAATTTTATTACAATCGAAAAAGACCAACAAACTTCTTCCCGATATTATCCGCCTTCTCCCAGAACTCAACTGTACTGACACTTGTCTTTCCTTTTCATACTCCTTGCCAAAAAGAAAGACAACAACATGTATTAATATAAGTGTCACTTCAGTCTAACCCACAGCAAGTCGAGCCTAGATAAATTAGAGTCCAAGTCACCGTGTAATTTTACTTACATACATATACTCTTTTTTTATATCAAAAGGTGGCAAACGAGCGAGCGGTCACCTGTAATCGCTGAAATAGCGAATTGACTGTTGCCCATAGGCATACGCAATTGCATATGCGTTACCTACCTTTAATCAACGGAGGAGAGGATGCACAGAAAGAAAATGTCTTCCTTTTCCATGCATCCTCTCATCCGGCAAGTCCACTTGCACTTCCCATCCTTTCCTTATAAGAAAAAGGGTGCAAAGGGAAAGATGACTAAATTAGGCCTCCGGGACGCACACTCATCAGACGAAACGCGGAATTGCTTCCACTTCACGCCTGTCTTCTGAGTGGTCGTGGTATTTCACCGGGCGAGCCGGACCGATTAGTGCGAAGAACTTAAAGCGGGCTCTACCACTGTTAAACTCTGTCACTCTCTAATCCGAGTTTCTCACTTGTGGAGTTCGTCCGTTGGGCTTTTCCAGGTTCGACTGTACACAAGTTGTATGTTAGATAAAATAGTAAAAGATAAAAAGTTACATATAAAACTTAACGATAAGTAATTCATTAACGCAAAGTACCAATATATTTTACAACTATTTATGGTTACTACAGCTGTTTGTTCTAACATTTATAGCTATATTTGAAATCAATATTATCATAATTTGTTATAAATAGCCTTAATATTCTAGTGCAGTCGAGGACATTTATTTCCTACCCAATGAAATGTCATTTGATGCTGCCAATGCAATTAGGTATTGTCTTAAAAAGAAACATTCTAAAGTATAGTACACAAGGTGACTAATGGTAATTTAGTGTTCAACATTTGATATGAAGTGGTAGGGAAATTTAATTCGTTGACTGTACATGGTGTCCAATTTGTTAACCTCATTTCCAGGAAATATTGCCTAAATAATAATACAGGTAATTAGGAAAATAAAGACGACCAGCTATTGCCCGCGACTCCGTCCGCAAAAAAAAAGTTATTACTTCAATGAAACTAAATAAAATTGTTGGACATGAACAATATTCAAAAACATTAATAGAGGTAAGTTACGTCTAAGTTGAAATGTTTTTACAAACGTAACTTAAGCGCCTATATTCAGTAGCTATTTGCATAATACCTACTGTAGTGTGAGTACTACGCCGCGTTGGCTAATTTCAGAGTTCGCTCCAACGTGGCCACTGAGATAAATTTTAAATTAATGCTTTTAAAAAGTTTGCGATGCTACTCTGTGAGGCAAAATTATTTCAATTTTAGAAAGCTCTCTGAAAGTTGTCTTTTTGGTGAATTTATATTGTTTTATTTTAGACAGATTAAAAATAAAAATGATTATTAAAATAGTTTATTTCCCAAAAATGCTTTGATGTTGCCAAAGCATTTTTGATGGTACACAGCGTTTTAATTCGGAATATGCATAAACCGGCAAAGTACTAAAAGATTATACTTATCAAATCATAAAAAAAGGATAGAGGCATTAAAACAAATGTTATATTTGACAGTGGTAGAGCCCGCTTTAACATCTTCGCACGAATTGGCCCGGCTCGCCCGGTGAAATACCACGATCACACAGAAGACAGGCGTCAAGTGGAAGCAATTCCGCGTTTGGTTTGATGAGTGTGCGTCCCGGAGGCCTAATTTAGTCCTTTTTCCATTCCCACCCTTTTTCTTATAAAGAAAGGATGGGAAGTGGAAGTGGACTTTCCGGATGAGAGGATGCATGGAAAGGGAAGATATTTTTTTTCTGTGCATCCTCTTCTCCGTCGGTTAAAGGTAGGCAACGCATATGCAATTGCGTATGTCTATGGGCAACGTTCACTTCGCTATTTCTGCGATTTTAGGAGGCCGCTCGCTCGTTTGCCACCTTATGATATAAAAAAAATATATAATAAATGTTTTCAACTAAATCTGGGGATTCAAAAAAATTACACGGATTTACTTAAATCTCTATATTTTAGAGTTTTCTGACAAATCGAGATCATTGATGTACGCACACTCTTCAAACTATGTCATATCTTTGTATACTACAGTTTAAATTCTATATTCAAGGTATAACTACAGGTTTACCTGAAATGATAGCTGTTCATTTTGACTGAAGTGCTCGGTAAGTTTGTAAGAGCACTAGAAACTTGTCTGCTCTGTCGAGAGACAGCTGGCGCGCACTTCGCCGTCAAGTATCAAGTTTTAAGCTCAACGGTTTCACTAATTATTTCATTTCGCGATTTCCTCCGTTTAGAAGGATTTAACTTTGAATTGGTCGTTTTCATGGAAATTTATAAGACTCGTTATTTCTTATTGATTTCAAGAAAAACAAGTTTTAAAATGAAAAAAAAAAAGCCAAGCGCGAGTCGAATTCGTACACTGAGAGTTCCGTACGAACCTGTGGGAATAAAGGTAAAATTTACGGTTTTCGCAATTTTTCCTTTATTTGTGCTATAAGACTTCGCTTCGTATCAATTCTACGTTCACGGAAAGTACCCTATGGGTTTGATTTCCCTTGCGAGTGTCGAAAATGTGTTGTTTGTTGCAAAAACCACGGCATATTTGATTGCGTTGGCTTTAGAAGTTTTATTTTTCACAGCTCCATGAAACAGTAGGTATTTGATATAAGCTTGATACATCCACGTGTTTTTGAGAAAAAAGGTCTATACAGACAGACAGATAGACGGACGAATAATAAAAATATTCCTGTAGGGGTTTCGTTTTTCGACATACGGAACCCTAAAAAATGATGGAATAAAAGTGTTTCATCACATGGTTATTTATTCCATGAATAAAGCTGATGAATAATAAAATAAGTAAGTGTAAATGCGAGTTCAATTTATTCTAGTTAATGAGTTCCATTAGTAAGAACGTTGTACGATTTTCACGTTAGCAACCAGTGTAACATTATCCGTAGGTATTTTTCGGCACAGTAAATTGCTTAAATCTATAATGGTAATGAATATTTTGTGTGTGAAATTGTTTTCTCTGAGTTAATCGTATTTATTGAGATGTTACCATTACTGTCGTATAAACATATCGAAGTTCTTTATAATAAATAGATTTTTTTTTGCAGAATATTTTCGTACTTAAATAACTAGGTGATTTCTTTTACTTTTTCTAAAAATGTCACTCAGGATTGCCTGTCTCATTTCCAAGAAATTTCGTAGACATTTCGTGGAGAAGTAAATTTATTTTCACCTGTCATGTTGAATTTGAGATTTTTCAATTCCTTTGTCGTCTCAAATAATGGGACGGAGATAAGTGAGTTATTGTTAACAGTATTCTGTACTTTTTCTTCTCGAGAATTTCTTTTAATACGTAAAACAGATTTTTGGAGAATAACATAATATTTATTACATCTTATCTTACAAATTTTACTAATATTATAAATGCGAATTTTAGATGGATGAATGTGTCTGAAGGTATCTCTAGAACGGCTGAACGGATCTCGATGAAATTTGGCATACATATAGAACATAATCTGGAAGAACACATAGGCCGCTAATAATATTTTTTTTAATTGTGCGTGGAGAAAGTCGCAGGCGACATCTAGTATAATTTAAAGTAGAGAAGTAGATTTGCCGGGAACGTGGCGTATAGGAAGGGTTAATATCCTTTCTATGTTCATTACAGATAGGCAATGCATCTGCTATTTTTAACTCGTTGCATATACCCATAAGGAGCGGTCACTTCACAATGTGAAATCAGGTCGATTGACATCTTTCACTATTAAAAATATTGTTATAACTCTTGTTGTGTTTTCAGGTGGTGGCAGAGTTCGAGGACGTGTCTCCGGACGCGCTGTACGATGTGCTGCATGACCCGGAGTACCGCTCTGTGTGGGATACCCACATGCTGGCCGCTGAGGACGCTGGGCATATCAACGTTAACAACGACGTCGGATACTACGCAAGTAAGTACCTTGACGTGTTACGTGATTATACGGGCGACGCACAATGGAAACAGTGTCTAATTACTTCGAACTAAAAAGGGTTAGTTGTAGGATTTTTAATGACAGGTGTAATACGTGACTGCTGAAGCATATGTTATGGAAATGGGGTTGTCAATTTCTTTCAATAAACGTAGACACGAACCCTGGGTGGTTATGTAAAACGACGATTGGTCAAATTACTTATATGTCTTAAATGTAATCCTATATTTTGTAAATAATGAATTTTTTAACTAACTTTAAACTCATATGTTATTGGTTGACTTTGATTATTCTAATATATATTTAAAAAAAACCCTTCGAAAATTGAATTTTTAAAAATAATTATTTTAATATCGGCTAGGTTTGCTCGGTATAAAATGTATTAGACTTGCAGCATGACGCTAGTCTGCAAGGAGCGGCCTTTAATAACTAGTAAACTTTTTTAAAGCAACAACTTTTTAAATTTCCACCGACTCGGGACGTCCGAAGCAATCGCTTTAACTTGGTTTATAGTTTTTTATATCGTGAAATGGCAAGACGAGAAAGTTTTGAGCTATTTTTATAGAGCTTATTAAATCTCAACAAATGTTACATATAAAGGTTTAATTATTGATTATTTGTTTACTCCGGATTAACTTAATTATGTATATATATATATAATTCTTCTGTGAGTGTGTATGTCACTGAACTTCTCTCAAACGACTGGACCGATTTTGATGAAATTTTTTGTGTGTGTTTAAGGGGATCTGGGAATGGTTTAGATTCACAATTTTGTCCGCTGGACAGTGTTTTTTTAATTAATTTATTAGTAGTTGTTGATTTTTTGGAATGTTTTACTTGGATCCGACTGACGGCGCTACCATCGCAGTGTCAAATTTTAAATAATATTCGAATTTTCAAATTAAAGACGTGTAGACAGGACAACGTCTGTCGGGTCCGCTGGTATATATATATATATAAAAGAAACTCGTGTAGTTACACTATTTATAACTCAAGAACGGCTTTTCCGATATGACTGAAAATTGGTGTGGAGGTAGCTTAGAGCCAGGAGACAGACATAGGATACTATTTCTTCATTTTTTTTGGAATTGATGCCTTTAAGAGCTGCTTTTTATTTAACTTACTAATATTATAAATGCGAATGTTTAGATGGATGTAATGTAGATGGATAGATGGGTGGGCTTCACTAATTAAGTTTTTTTATATATCCACGCGGACGGAGTCGCGGGCGACAGCTAGTTTTTTTATAAAACGCAAGAATAACCTCGTTCATTTCATAAACAGAAAAAAATAGTTTACACCTATGGCACAATAAGGGCATTTATTCAGAATGAACTCGTAAAGAAAAGCTGACACAGATTTGCATGTGATATGAATTATGAATAGCTGTCGATTTCGCGCCGCGCCGCCCCACGCCGGTATGCCACAATACCCTCGCAATAACCATGAGTTCACACTGCCGCAACATGTAATATAACAAATTGTAATAATCATTGAAGTAAAAAAAAACAAAGACTGTTTTAATACTGAAAAAGTTGTGATAACCTAAGAACAGTTTAATTTTTGTTTTGTTTAAATTAACTGTTTTAGTTTTTGAGTTTAATTTAATTTGATGATTGATTTAATGTTGTGATTTAAGATTTTGAACAAGAAGAGAGAATGGTGCGAACTTACGGCATAGAGTACAAAAATAACATTCACAAAGGCGGACTATATGACGGATTTAATAAATGTATTCACTCTTTGAACACCAAATATTGTCTTCATGCCAAATAAGATCATAAATATGGTTTAATGAAATAGAAAAATCGTGTTACAATACCATCGTATAAAAGTTACATAAACCAACACTAACATTGTAATTATAATCAAGAAAGAAAATATCGTAATAAAAATACAAAGAAAATAGCAAATAAGAAAATAAAAACACTTTTCTTGTTGACCTACATCAGTTGATTGGTTGGTAACGTAGTGACGGCAGGATATTGGAGACTAAACAATGGGCCCTAATTGAATATAGACCCGTGGGAGTCCAATTTATTGGTATCAGATCAAAACCAGTTCACTAAGAACTTCATCGACCGTTAGACAAGCAAGATGGAAGAGGTCTTCTTTATAGGTTGTTTGAATTGTTTCTAATATTATCGGAATTATTAGGTATTTTATTCTTAGTTATCTTGTACCTAAAAAATAAATTAAGCTGAAGGATAATGATGGAAATGATTTTGTTAATGTTTCGTTTGTAGGCATTTCCACCACATTTACAGGCTAATGATTACATAACACGTTCCTTAATGTATATATTTATTTTACTAAATCTATAAATCATTCGGCTTTTTCCATAATAAGTCTTAGTGAGGCAGTTTCTTTTAAAGGTACGTGTCCTTTTACCCGAGCCAGATGCACCGCACGCATGGATTAAATGAGTTGCTTTATATTTCGATGCCGACAACGCGCATGATGGATGCAGCGCTATGTAAAATCATACAAAGCACACTAATATCTGTTGTGGGCCGTACGTGCTATGTATGCAAATGGACGCGTACCGTCAAACGGTGGTGATTTTCCGTAATAATCATGGATGTAGTTACTTTAGTAAGTCATGAATTCATTTTAACGTAATTTTTTGCAACTCTACTACTACTAACCTTGAGTACTTCTATGAAATAAAAACTCAAATATCCTGTAAATTGAATTGATATTAGGCGTAATATCGATTCAAAAAGGCCATTCATTACTTTTTTTTACACCAACAATGGGGCATTGAAGTAGTCACGCTTGACGCCACTTAACGTCACAGCTAGTTTCATGGCACTTTTATCACTTGCTTGTTTTATCATTTTGTTATGGAAACGCTTTTGAATGGGTAAATTATACCGCAGGACTTCACTGTTGTGAACAAAGAGTTTTTAATATTATATTATGTAGTTATAGAGTTAAATACTTAACTAGACTTACCATTTACATATCTATATATATATAAAAGAAAGTCGTGTTAGTTACACTATTTATAAGTCAAGAACGGCTTTACCGATATGGTTGAAAATTGGTGATGAGGTAGCTTAGAGTCAGGAGACGGACATAGGATACTATTTATTATTTTGTTCGAATTTATGCCTTGAAGAGCTGCTTTTTATTTAACTTACTAATATTATAAATTCGAATATTTATATGGATGTGATGTGGATGGATGGCTGGGCTACACTAATTAAGTCTTTTATATATCCACGCGGACGGAGTCGCGGGCGATAGCTAGTAAATATTAAAGTAAGCAAACGTATCGAATAAACAAGGTTCACAAATTAAGTAAATATTGATAGATCGATTGTTCAAACAATATTCGATTACAGAATTACTGAGAAATACAAGAATGTTTTCTCATATTTACAACTTTTTTTTATTATTTGTGTTACAATAAAATAATAAGTAGTAAAAGAAAATATTGTGATATCCTCTTTATTTTATAGAAAAATACAAGGCAAATGAACATTCTAAGTTTATATTTTAAAAGTACGGCACATCTCATACCAATCTTGTTGTGGGCTTTCACTGCCGTCATACTTATATTCAAACATATTGATGTCTCTGTTATATCAAAGAGAAAGAAAGGGATGACAATATGCGCTAATAAAAACGTTACTTCAGTGAAAGTTGCAATTACTCCATATTTAACAAAGCGGTGTGTTATACATGGGGTTTTCACAGATGTATTACACATGGGGAAAACCCAACGTGGTCCCTGTCATGAAATCGTTAGTTATATTAATACGAAGGGGACACGCATTTCCTTGGACTTTTATTGATTACAAAGGACATCGCTAGTTTAAAAAGTACAGATATTTTGAAGACTAATTCCTGATCACATCTTCAATCCTCGCGACTTCGCCGCACGGGACTGCTACTAATATTCTTAAGTCAGTCGCATACATTGCTCTTAGATAATAGCCGCGTCCGAAGGCAATAATGATTGATGGTGTTCATTTTGTTCACAGTGTCATGTCCAGCACCGCTCAAGAACCGAGACTTCGTTCTGCAGCGCTCCTGGCTCGACACCGGCAACGAGAAGATGATCCTCAACCACTCCGTCTACCACAAAGACTACCCACCCCGGAAAGGCTTTGTCAGGTAATTAAAAAAAATAAACCCTACTAACATGTGGACTCCAAAGAAAAATAACGACACAAGAATGAATCAAATGACACCTTATCAATATTCTTAATATACTTATAATGATAAAGTTACGGTTTGCCGAGTTGGTTTGAAATCTAAAATCTTCATCTTATAAGTACACGTTTTATGGTTGATCTACATGCGACCGGCCCTTTTGACCAATTCATACCTTAGACTTGCATATCAACTATACGACAGTCGGAGTCGTGCTAGTGGAATTGCAATATACATAAGTACAATTCCCAGGAATAGCAGTCGCAAGCAGCCAGAGCTGTGATGTTAAGCGCGAAGTTGTCTGCCATAGATGTTTGGTCGATAGTCGTATGTTGTGCGCGACTGCCCTATCTGCCAATTTGCCGGCACTCCGGCGATTAGATAAAACAGCGTGTGCGTCACCGTGACGACCTTCTCGCTAGCTCGGCCCTTTCCCTAACAGATTGATATATTACCAGCTAAGCTATTAGGGTTGAACACTGATAGACCGTGATACGCAAATTTTGGAACAATGCGCTTTATGAATGGATGGATTTGAATATTTGTTAACGTAAAAATGGAGGAGATAGATAATTTAGACTGTAGTCATCTTCAAGCACACATATAGAACATGTGTAAATACCACTTCTAATACTTAGAGATTAGGGAAAGGATGAAAAAAGAGAGAAAAGGAAGCTACCATGCTATTATCAAGTAATTATTTCTTGACGTAATTTGGCAGAGCCGTATCACTGTTGACGGGCTTCGTGGTGCGGTCGCGGCAGGGCGCTGGCAGCTGGTTGGGCTACGTCTCCCGCTCAGATCCCCGCGGCGCGCTGCCCGCATGGCTCGTCAATAGGTAAGTAAAAAGAACCCACCTAAACATTGTAAACATTCAAAACTCTGACCAGACCAAGGCAACTCCACGAATAAGTTAGATTCCAGCGTCAACTTATTCTTAAGAATAGACGCAAAATTTTAACACACACCAAGGATGATATGAAACATAGCCAGTTAGGTCTTCACAAAATATTAGAAAACGCCAATATTATAATCAGATTTGGACACTAAAACCAAACTATTAAACGTTTATGGCTTTGTATATTGCAGGGTGACTGCTCAATTAGCACCTCGGCTAGTGCATCAGCTACACGCGGCAGCACGCCGGTACCCAGGCTGGAAGGCGCTCACAGACTCCCCCTACTTCAAGCCTTGGAGGAATCCCGAACAAGTACCATCATACAGAATCTCTATAGAAGATGTAAGTCACGAATAATACATTTTTTATGCTAAATAAATTGGTGTAAATCCTAATGAGTGATTACTATTTTCTAACATATATTGTTGTATAATTTATAAAAAAGTTCAAAGCAAAACGAAATTTACTATTATACATCAACCGTCGATGAACACATCGTTGTTCTCGTTGCTTTTTGCCCCCTTATCTTATAAAAAATCAAACTGAAATCATTAATATTCACTTGACAAAGTTTTCACACACAGATAAGAACTATGTAAAGTAACCATTTGTTGCAATTTAAAAATTAATTAAAACTTTTCTGATACAGTGCATTGACCCCGACGCTCCACCACCTCCTTCTGAACCGAAACCAAATACATCGAAGGTGAAACTTGAAGTGCCACAACCCAAAGAAGCAGAAAGCCATAGCATTGAAGACTTAGGAGACATATCATCAGAGTTCAGCGTTGAAGTCGAAGAAGAAGTAGAACATACCGCAGATCCTACAAAGAAGAGAGGGAAATTTTATAAATTAGTCAAATCTATGAAAAATAGACGAAAAAGTGTTCAAGTGGCGAAGAGTGCTGATAATTTACTTGACGGGAAACCTCCAGAAGAGAAGGAGAAGAAGAAGCCCTTTAAATTTCATCGGAGATTCAGTTTAAGTAGGGGACGAGAAGATTAAGTTAATACAGAATTGTAATCTTTAATAAAAATGTGTAATTTGGAAGTTTAAAAGTTTACTTTGTTACTGTAGTAGATATACTATAATTAGGCTTTCAATTACATGGATTTCCAAATATCTAAACAATCAACCGTGATCAAAATAATTTGTAGGTAATGGGGATTTTTTTTGGAATAAATTTAATTCGAATTGTTAATAATAGCAGATCTGTATCGTGAATGATGTCGGAGATCTTTTAAGATTTAAGATCTTTTATCTTGTCTTTTATTTTGCAGAGCGATGTACCATAAAGAAATTTTACGCTGATTAAATCAATTTCCTTTGTGTATTACAATTGAAGATACTGGAATCATGTAAAAGGTAAAAATAAATACACAGTTTAATATTATTAAACAATGACGTTTCAATGTTAAAAAAAAACTTGGGTAAGTTTTTCATAATTTTAGGTCTCAGTTAAATTATTGATATAATTGACAAATTAGATGTTGTGCTATTTACACAGATTTAGCAGTTAAAATACTTTTGTTAGCGAATGAATGAAATAAAACCAGAAAACGCACATTTTTCGTTAATTACTATTTATAATAACCATGGAAATGTTTCGTGTCTCTTTCTTCTAGTTAAGTAAATTATAAACATTTTTAAGGGACTTTATTACGGCAAGACATCACAGTAATAAATCGCACTGGAAATTCAACAACAGTTACCTTACCAGTTACCTACACTAAAACTTGTTTTTAAATAAACAAAGTACATTTAACGATCGAAGTCTAGTCTATACTATTATTACAAAGAGTATAGATTTGTTTGTTTGTTTGCATTAAATATGTTCCGAAACTACAGAACCGATATTAAAAGTTCTTTCATTGTTGGGAACACTATCTCCAGGTGGCGTAGGCTATATTTATTACTAGATTTTTTTAATTCCGAGAAGACGGAGTCGCAGGCAACTGCTAGTCATAAATAAATGTCTTCCTATAAATATGTCACAAATTATACAAAAATAACAATCATTTTTTTTGGTTTTTCAAAATAGCTGATTTTTTTTGTAAAATTACTAATATTCCTTTTACCATTCCAACTAAGCTCTAGGCTTGTGCTAGGATATGGTTTACGACAATAGTCGAATGGCGGGATTCGAACCTCCGACCTCGTGATCGGAAATCCGTACCCTAAACCATTAGACCATTGACGCTTTGTGAATATATAATTTATAAAAATAACTGGTTTACAATTTATGTAATCATCACGCTGAGAGTTGATGTTTAAAATTCCGCATCTTTATGTCAACAGATATTGTGTAGGCTTTTTGTAAAGCGGTTCAAATAACAGATTAGATTTAATTTCAATCAAAACCATTTGTATGTAAAAAAAAAAGTTCTTGTAAAGAAATCGACGTATATAATGGTATTTTCACAGTAGAGGAATTTTTTTGACTACTTTAGAATTACGACTCGAGAATTGCCTATTATAGGCATTGTTGTTTTTGTCAAACTTTATATATTTTTTTTGCTGTGACCAATGTTACGCGATGTTTAAACATATTTCTGTTGCTTACAAGAAGTTAAGAATAGTGGAAGAATTATTATTGTTTTCTTGTAGTGATGGGTAATTATAATCTACTACTACATATCACATAATCAAATGAAAATGTCATGAAACACAAAAAAAGATAAAAAAATTACTGTTCTTTGATACATGTCTTTTATCGCTAATATTTATAATCAGTTATAGTGCATTTAAGGTGAAAACTTAAGACATTTTATATGTTTACATTACGAACATCATTTAAATATATTAAGCAAATCATTACAGCTGTCACGAGAGTTGAACTAGACAACTAACACTACCAGAGTGGCTAGACAAAGTACATTCGTTCCAAAGCGATGCCATAACGAACTTCAAAAATGTATAGAATTGACAATAACTTTCCATAAGTCACGTGATTGTCGCGCGTCAGTTCCATACATTTTTGATTTTTTTTATCGAATCGCTTCGAATGCACTTTGCCTAGCCCTTCGGGAGGGCAAGTAGTAACATTTATAAGCGATGTTGCTAATCAAAAAGCAATAATAATAAATGTATAGAAGTGGCAATTACTTACAATATGTCATATGCATGTCACGTATTTTTCCTATACATTTTGTCGATTCCACAAGCGATTATCGCAGTACTTATTGTTTGGTTCGTCATTACTATCTATTCCTCCTATTCATTCATTCATCAGACCTGTCTATTCATGTTTAATGTCTGCATACATCTCTTGCAACTTTATAACTTGTGCCTTTGCCTTTTTACACTATACTTAACATTTACTTACTATCTTATATCATATGGTAATATAAAATCTATATATTATCAAGATATCCTTAATTTTTTAATGCTTGTGTGTAATACATTTTATATAACGCTAATTACATATTAATATAACGCTTACAATTATAAAAAAAAAATATTAATGGAATAATATAGAAAAAAACGTGTTAACATATTTCAAAGGTCGTTAATACAATGTAAAAATAATATAACTATATAATACGACAAATTAATTTAAATAGAAAAACAAAATTATTGTACGTAATACGTCAAAAGTACAAAAAGACGCTACGTTGTGATACCAAAAAAAAAAATTAACTCAATTCTAATTTCATATTTAAACAGAATATAAAAATCATAAGAATAAAAAAATGACATTTTGCAGCAATGAATTCTATGTCGTAAAAGATTTTTCTTTTATTCCATTTTAACTCTTTACAATTAAACTTGTTTGCTGTTGTACTTTTAATTAAAATATACTAAAATGATTAAATAATTACATATTTGTTAATTAAGATTCGAACTTCAATCAACATAACAGCAGCCCTACACGCGACAGCGACAATAAACAATTGTTAATCGATAATTTCTTTCTATAAGAAACCTTGAATTTTCATTGTACTTATACAAAAACATATTATTACCTTTTTTTCCAATAGGAATTAGTTGATTCTTTTTGTAATGGTGTTTTGCCAATGGATATTCAAAGCTATTCTTTTATTCCTTTCTTATTTTTTTTTTATTAAAGGCCAACAATGCATCGTCAATCACCTCGTTATTTACGACGCTCGTTTTCCCCCTTACTGTAAAAAAATAAAACATTGCAATTTGTCGTTCCTTTTGTTTTTATCAACCGGTTTAGCAGTTTATAAAAGATGATTAATAAATGTTATATTCAAAAAATATTTTCGTCTTCACATAGTTGGGTGTTTTTAATATTAAGGTTTGTTGTACACGAGTGGTAATTATGAGATAAACTTAGTGCTCGCGCATGCAGGGGGCCTAGCACGAATATTCATAAGAACGTTTTCGTAAAGCCATCGACAAAAGTACGATAGCAAATTTCATAAAAAACTAGCATATTTTATCGATGATTTACGAAGGAATGTGTCGCAAACATTCGTGATAGGATCTTTGTACTTTTTTGTATTAAGACGATAATAAATATATCACGCGTTATGTTAAACGAAATGTTTATTCTCATGTTACCGTGTTCAATTTGTTGATAAATAGTGAACAAATATACGTATTAAGTACGATAAGTTGTTTCATTTCGATAAAAATGTTGGTAATAGGTGTTCATTATAAAATATCACAAACCCATTTTAAAACTGCATTCAAACTAAACTAGGGGAACTCAAAACTGAACTGATTTTAGTTTTAACACTTTAACGGTCATAAGGAGTGGATAGTGGAAAAATAAAATTGATAATGATTAAGGGTATTAAATAGAAGTAAAAACATATGTACATATAAATAATTATATATTTCTATGTACATATGTATAAATATATTCCCTCTACCGGTCAGATTCTATTCTCATTTCACGCGCCCGACCTATTCTATTACTGTAATTATATACAATAATTTATTTTTAGTAGTATTTCAAATAAAAAACGTTTAAAAAGTTTTTATTTATTACAAAATAGTAGTACAAAAAAGTATTTTAACTTAAATCTAATTTTATTTTTTATGAAAATCACTGAAACAAGGTGCTATGCATAGTGCTACTTGGCATTTCGCACACATAATTTGATGTAACACACATAATCATGGTGATGAAAATATCACCTCTAACTTATAAAGGGATAAAGTAATAACGATGATAACCAAGCTCAGATAGTCCTGGCAGTCATAATAAACCCAATAAAATATCTTTATATATTCAAATTTTCCATAATTGCCATATACTTATACTCGTAAAAGCCAAGGCCACCACTTTGGGTTGCTGTGCAAGAGTAAGTAAATTACGTATACACCTAAGTTACTATTTTCTTTGAGATGAGAGATGAATTGATGTAAATGTATTTAGTATTTTCTCAACTAAATAAATAAAAAAGGAACTAAAGAAATCTTTATTGACTCAAGTATTAATAGCCTCTTTTATTTGTTAGTAATTTAGTATTTAAAGATCCACAAATCAGTTGAGCCGTATAACTTCTACCTAACTAATATTGGTAGGCCAACGACATTTAACCTTTAAACAACTTTTATAAAATGCATTGATATTCCATAAACCTGTTTAATATTATTCCAACGAAATGTTAACCTATGTGTTTGACAAGCGTTACGAATTATTATAATTATTATTTGATCGTTTTATAACGCATCTTCCTTGTACAATATTATAGCGAATGTTTAGATTGATGTTTATTGAAAGACTTAACGTATCTCGGTGAAATTTGTCATAGATGTTGAATATAATCTATGAGAACACATAGACTATTAGTTAAGTTTTTAATTACGCGTGGACGGGTGCGGACAAAAGCTATTCATTATTGAATTTCAACAAAAAAAAAACTTTTTTTGAGCTTTATTACAATGAAGCAAATTCATTTTTATTATTACGTTACTAAATCTAATCGCAGTCTATTACGTATTACATTAATATTTACTTTGCCGATTACATTTAAATAGTAAAATAGACCGTCATTCTGACACTCTACATAATACATTAGTTTGAAATAATCCATGTAATAAAATCTTATAATACTATTGTGAACAATTGATGGTTTAACGACAAAATCCTGGCTTATATAGTTATATCGGATCGATTTTCTCAGTAGTGGTGTTTAGACAAACGCAAAAGTTGTTCGTGCGCCAAACAAGAAACAGCTGAAAACTAATAATTGTGTCAAATGTATTAAAAACTGTTTTTTTATAATTCGCTGTCGCAATTATGAAGGAGAACGTTACGGTAAGATTCATGCATTATTTTAAATATGATTTAAAATTTCCATGACGTCATAAATTGTTAGTCATTTCTTAAAATCTAACAAATATTATAAATGCGAAAGTTTAAATGGATGTTTGTTAGAAGATATCTCCAGTACTACTCGATCTTGATGAAATTTCACATAGATGTAGATTAACTGGAAGAACATAAAGGCAATTTTGTATTTTATTTTATGTGGACTTAGTCGTGGGCGACAGCTAGTAATTAAATGCAAACGCATTCAAAAACCATTGCTAAATGCAAAGATAGCAATAATTACTGCGCCATGACCTAATGAATCAACTAAACGTAATAACAATTATACTGCGATAACATGACCTTAATTAATTACTAGTCTATGTAATTTCTTCTTTTGGTTTGAAGCTTAATCATAATTTTTGATTCAGATATTTAGACAAAATAAAACCTTTGCCCGTTAGGTTACAAAAAATACCTTTCAACTTGACACATCGCGTAGGGAACAACAGTATAGTCAAACGAGTTTATCTGTCCCGAAGAGAGAGGCTTTGCTATCATGGTTAGTTCCGTCAGGAAATATGTAAAACCTACATGGTCATAGAAAACAGCATAAAATAAAAAATAAAATAGGATCATATGACACTTTTTGAATATGACAGTAGTAGTATAATTTAGTTTGACAGCCCACCGGGTCAAATATCCCTGTCGGTCTATAATCTTTTGTTCCAAGTTCCAAAACAAGGGCCGAGTACAGATAAAATTGAACGTGGATAAGGAAGAGTCATTGTTTCTCGCCTTGACAATGACTCTCGCTTATCGAATCGAATGTATCCTGTCTACATAAATGTCAGTGATGCAATGTTAATCGTTCTATGCTTTAATATATTTATCCATTTTACGACAACCGCTTCAATAGTAATCCATAGACAAAGCTTGTGCTAACACTGATAGGAATAGTTTTATGTGTCTTGTAATAAAACTAACTTTTTTATGATTTCTAATTCATTGTCTTGCATCTTTCTCTTTCTTATTTTCCATTCTTTTCCTCTTTACTCCAATCCTTAGAATCATAGCTTCATGTTAATGTTATTTACATTAACCTTCGTCACTAATAAAATTAGATTAATATACGGCAAAGGATTTTTAAATTCTATGGTTAGTTCTAAGTTTCTTAACAAATAATTCGGGAGTTTTTTATTATGAGTTACGTAATAATGTTGAATTTTCACCGTACGATTTGTAGAGAGAAATTTTTTCTATTTTCGAATTTTGGAACAGAATTTATTTAGTTTAAAGAATGGCGAATTATATGACCATATTTTGTTTCTTGTATTCAATATTTTTAATTAAAAAAATCTGGTATGTTAATAGAATCATAAATTAAATAAATATTCACATGTTAAATTGAAACCCTTTTAAGGAAACGAATTAACAGAATTTATTAAAACTAAAACAATATTGACTTAACTTGTTCGTCTTATAAATTCTTTACATATAGAACTGATATTGTTAAATTGAAATAAACTATTAGTAAAATCTTATAAATTCATTTGTCAATAACCCTAAAAATATTGATCAAATTAAACAACTAAGATATTTAAAAATTATTTTCCATGGTAAAGAAATAAGCAATTCATTAGAGTATTTTTCCATTAAGCTATTACCATGTTCGACCAACCATAAGCCATAACAAATCTATTCAGCTGACATAGTCTTAGAAACAACGGAGGTGTATTGTCCTACTAAAGGTAAACAGTTGGCATTACCCTACTAAAAGTTTTAATACCAAAACCCGAGTGCCTGGAGAAAAATAATAGCAATTCTTACTAAACATTTGTGTAGTTACTGATATAGAAAGGCGCATTGCATGATAAATGTATTTAAAAAATATACACTGGACATAAACTTTTACTATCATATCGATAAGATTAAAATTCTTAAAATAAAAATAAGGTGACCGACATAGGATCAGAGATTAGAGATTTAAAATACAACAACATAACGCCTGTAACCAAGAGGTGTAGGCAGAGACCACAGACCTCCATTTAGGTCGTATTTAGAATGTTAACGTATTATCTGAATAAAAATACCTTTTCATAACATGATGTTTATTAATTTAAAAAGATAATCAATAATTCATTTTTGTTATCAACATTTTTATTCACTCTGATAGTCTTCTTTCTTTTAGTCTTCTGTCTTTCATCCGCACAATCATGGCTTCTTAAACCAATAAATGGAAGACGAGTTAAATAATTCATTACCAAGTTTGTTATGATGTTATATAACAATAGCTTACAAAATAGAGTAAATAAGTTTATTGTAGATAGTAAATTATAACTCCCGCTAAAACTAACCTCAAAATAGAGGAAATATCCACCAAATTTTTCCGCACTTTATCGTCCTTCGTTCCAATATAGTTGTAAGTGTATCGAATCTGTAACACTTAATAATTTGCTGATAGTTTTTATTTAAATTTTTCTCAAGAAAATTATCCAGCCAGCGATATTTATCACTTGAGTATTTTCACAACGTATTTGTATCCAATTCTTGCAGCAGCTTTTCCTGCTTGAGTGGGATAAATTGATGATTTTTTTGAGCTTTCTAAACTCTTTGTATAGTCTGTGCCGACCTGTGTCTCTTGAGGTCTGCAGACAGATTGGTATTGGCTTTGGACTGGTCTTTGATATTTACTGACTGAGTTAGATGTTGCTGCGACCGCACCGGCTCCGTAAACGAACACCATTATTTTTTTATCGATCTGATTAAAAATAGACGTAAAATGTAGAGTTCTGGAACAATACACATATTTTTTAAAATATAATAGATAGACATAAAATGTTAAAAGTTGAAACAATAAAAATAATATTACAATTCGCAAGCAAAAATTTTTAAGAACCAAAAAAAAAATTTAGAAGAAAAAGCCGTGCCAAACTGCCTTAGAAAATACCTAACAAATTTATTTTAAATCTGTCCAATGGTTTAAAATCCCACAGATAAAAATTACGACGATGATTTCATCATCATCAACCTGCCCTTATCCCTATTATGGGTCGGCACAATATGTACCACTCCTCCACACATCTCAATCAGTCGTCATATCCGAATCTACCCCCTTCCTACGCATATCCTCTTTCACACAGTCCATACTTTTTTGGCCTTACTCTACTTTGTAGCCATCTACATTCAATCTCATTACTTTACGACGATAATTTAAATTTTATAATAAAATTCTAACTAATCAAAAACCGCTAGTAAATAGTGATAAAGACAGATTGTTGATCTGATTGTCTGTTTGTATTTGATGAATTAATAACATTAATTTTTGGCTACTGTTAGCGGTACTTCCCTGTTATCAAATACCAAATGATAACAATCTATTTATTAGATGACGATAATTAAAAAAAAATCAAGCATCTAACATACAGTCAATTCCGTAAAAATATTTCATAATAGTTTCAAAGTGTTCACGTAAAATTGTTATTCAAATATCTCCCCCCCCCCATTATGTTCAATGCTAGCTGTTGACCGCAGCTCCGTCCGCGCGGAATTAAAATAAACTAAGTGTTCTTCCAGACTATGTTTCATCCATGCCAAATTTCAGCGAGATTCGTACAGCCGTTGTGGAGATACCTTAAAACAAACATCCATCGATCTAAACATTCACATTTATAATATTAGTAATCTATCTTGACCTTAATGAATCTTCAGAATCTTATGTAACAAAAAGTAGCTACATATGTTTCAATTGATATATCAGAAGGATGCAAACTAGCGAGCGGCCATCTGAAATCGCTGAAATAGCGAAGTGACCGTTGCCCATAGACATACGCAATTGCATATGCGTTGCCTACCTTTAATCGACGGAGGAGAGGATGCACAGAAATAGAATATTTTCCCTTTCCATGCATCCTCTCATCCGGAAAGTCCACTTCGACTTCCTATCCTTTCCTTATAATAAAAGGGTGGGAAGGGAAAGAGGACTAAATTAGGCCTCCGGGACGCTCACTCATCAGACGAAACGCGGAATTTCTTCCACTTGAGCTTAAAAAAAAGTTGCTTAAAACTTTTTCTTTATCTAAGTCACATGATACAACGCGGCTTATCAAATGCAAAACAATTGCAATCAATAAAATAATAATTAGGTCGATGAAATTTATATTAATACTGATATGAGGAAAAGATTTGTTTGCTTGTAATAACTATTTGACCATAAAAAGGCCAACGGCCTAGCATGAATATTTACTAAACCTGAACGGAAACCTTGGCTTGCTAAAACCAAAAAAGTTTTAGTATTAAAAAAAATAATGCACATAATTCATATTGGTAGATAAAAGATATTTTATATAAAATTTAAATAAGTATTGTGGCTAAGAAGAAAAAGTAAACTATATTATTTTATTCGGTCTAATATTTATGTTTATTCGAACCTAAAATAATTAAAAGATTCACAATTGAAACATGAATAATAGAAATAAATCCGTACTTTTCCTTCTCGGAGCACTAATTAAACATATCGTGATCCCTGTCATAATCTTTGACAAAACAGAGATAACAATCTGTTTCAAACGATGATTTTGATCACAAAAACTCACGATAAAATATAATTGAAGTGTTACATCCATACCTTATCCGCTCCTATTTATTCACAAGACTGCAAATTATAAAAATATACGTGCAATAAATCGCGGATAGCAATTGATTAATAAATCAGCTCTTGATAAATTAAAGTGCTTTCCGTGTTATTGTAACGAAATAACTATAAAAATGTGTTACGAAACTTATAAATATACTGTCACTGATGATAAACAGATTTAATTCTTATCAACAATATTGATATGAAGAAATCATTTCCTATCATTAAAAGTACTTTCTTTAATCTTGCATTTTTATAATATATAATTTTTGTATCCGATTTAGTTTATGGGGTCGACGATGAATAATTTGACATACATTTTATAGTATTCAAAATATACCCAGCTAATAAGACATAATCGGTATGTAGGTAACTAAAAATAACACGAGTCTTTGTAAAAACTTAGCTGAAAAAAACTTTTTGTTTTTCAGGATCGTTTGGAACATTCAGACGTCCTACTACCCCAGGAGAAAGTACAAAACGGGGAGATATTTGTCATAAAACACGATGATCCAGAAAACCCCGAATTTCGTTGCGATCATCTCGCCTACGGTGCGTGTTACTTACTTTCATAATTTATCTCGGTTTTATTCTAAGCGAATAAGAGGTATTCAAATATTATCGTAATACAGGTGTGGAGTTTTGTCGTCATGATTCAAAATTAAGTCTGCTTCATCGTGACGATGATAAACATCGTATAAATAATTTTAGTGAATTATACTTACTACTAACTTAAAAAAAACTTTGCGTGAGTCATACGCCAAACATTAATTTACATAACTAAAAAGAAACTACAGCCTAATTGACGAAATCAAATTTAAAGAATGAGGTATCATTACTCGTATTCTTTGACAGAATATCAAAACATATTCAGTCTGTAGTTTATTGGTTGTAAAATTAAGTACTGCTTATTAATCTTATATATATAAAATTATCGTGTCACAATTTTTGTTCCCATACTCCTCCGAAACTTGACCGATTCTCATTAAATTTTGTAAGCATATTGAGTAGGTCTGAGAATCGGCCAACATCTATTTTTAATCCCGCGCGGACGGAGTCGCAGGCGACAGTTAGTTATAAAATATAATTGATTAACTTCAGGTGACGCAGTGTTCGCAATGGTTGTAGCGGCTCCTCTCGTGGTGGGAATGTGGCGCAGCTCGTGGGGCATCATGGAGCTGCATCGCGACATGTTTCCATATGCACAGATATATCTCTTGGGTATCATAATACATATCTCCTTTGCGTTGATCAGGTTTGAATCTTTTACTACTTTTATGTTTGTATCTTACTAATAATATAAATACGAATATGTATGAATGGATTGAAGTTTGTTTGTGTAAGGTATCTCTAGAAAGGTTGCATGGATCTCAAGAAATTTGGCATAGATGTCCAATATCATACGATACATAGCCTAGAAGAACACATAGACTAATTATTAAGTTTTTTTTTAATTCCGCGCGGACGGAGTCGCGGGTGATAGCTTGTATTACAAATACGAATGTTTAGATGGATGGATGTTTGATTGAAGGTATCTCCAAAACGGCTAAACGGATCTCGATGATGTTTGGTATACATATAGAACATAGTTTGAAAGGACGCATAGGCTAATAATAAAGTTTTTTTTATTCGGCGCGAACGGACTCGCCGGAAACAGCTAGTATTTAAACCGAACTATAAGGTTTGATATATATATATATTACATTTATATGCTTGTAATATTTGCTTTAAATTTTATACAAAGACTTTACAATCAAGATAATGTCTTCCGATTCGTATCACGTCTGAAAATAACTTCAATATTTCTATGAGTGAGGGATTTTTTGAATAGTATGTTTTCGATTATTATCTTTAAAAAAATGGGTGTTGCAGTGATTATTAATTATGTATATAAATCGATAAATATTTCGACTATGATAAGTTTTAGCAGACAGGGGATTTTTTTGTTAAACATTCAAGGTTATCAGATTTATTAGTGTTGATAAATTGTCAAAAATGCATAATTGTAAAGTTTCATTGAACATAAGATTTAGGATTTAATAACTTCAAATTCGTCCAATTTTATTATCGAGATTTTTATGAGTATTAACTACAGAAAATTTCAAATATGGATCTTGGTTTTTGAGATCTTAAACTTCTTACGAACAAAATCGCAGATAAAATCTAGTTACGTAATACTTTAATATCAAAGAAAACTTATTAAATCTTCATATCACATAATTGATATTGATTGCACAATGCAATGACATATAATCGCAAAAGTAAAAACAGTCTGGAGATCAAAGGATAAATTATTACTTGGAAATGAAAATTGCAAGATATCATAGATAAGATACAGACTAGACTGATGGAATCTGATGGAGAAAATCTTGCGACCATTGACGAACTTATCTCCGTTACTGAGAAATATCTCTTGTTTGTTTACTTATGTATAAAGATTTTAATCTTAAATAAACTTTACCGCGTATATGAAAATCACGCAGTTCATATACCTATTGTCATTCAAATGAATAATCTTACTTAATATTATAAACTAGATTTCGCCTGCGACTCCGTCCGCGTGGATATATAAAAAAACTTAATATATAGATTAAGTTGAATAAAAAACACCTCTTCAAGGCATAAATTCGAAAAAAAAAATTAAAAAATGAATAAATAGTATCCTATGTCCGTCTCCTGGCTCTAAGCTACCTCATCACCAATTTTCAACCATATCGGTAAAGCCGTTCTTAAGTTATAAATAGTGTAACTAACACAACTTTCTTTTATATATATGTGTGTGATGTGAATGTTTGGATGGATGGATGTCTCTTAAAACGTATCTCAAGAACGACTGCATGGATCTCGCTGAAATTCGACAAAGATGTAGAACAATGTCTGGAAGAATACATAGGTTACTAAGTTTTTTTTAAATGGATATTTTGGATATATGATAAATTATTTAGTGATTATAGATATTTAATAGTAGCCAATAGTATCAATGTTATCTTGTTATTTGATTGGTAACTAATAATATTTAACATTTATTGAATACAGACATATTATAAAATACAAATATTTTCCACGAAAAGTATGATAATATGAAGATAACCTAAAATAATAGAACGACACAATTCCTTTGTCTCGATTAAAAAAAAACACAGATATATCCATCTCGCTCATTCTCATGGAAAAAATAGAGACAATAACATGTCAAACAAGCATATCTGGTCCGTGAGAGGCGTTGCTATTGCGGTTAATTCTTTAAACAAATTAATTAAAAGTCACTTGAAAAAAACATGACATGACAGCAACAGTACGAAAAATACCTTGTAACGCTTTTTGTTATTGTCAGGAGGGCGCTAGTGAGCTATCATAATTTTGTTTGATTTATACTCTGGTCTGTTATCCTTGTCGGTCTATATCATAATTTAGTCTGACTGATGCACACAGAGTCAAAATCCTTGTCAGTTCATACAGTATGACTAGAATCCCCTGACATTCTTTGTCATTAACAGGAGGGCGCTACTGAGCTGTCATAATTTAGTTTGACTTATCCGCAAATTGTCAGATAACGTTGTCGGTCTGTATATACGGTGCATTTAATAAAAACTTAACGAAATGATAAGTGCAAAGAATCTAAAAATAAACGAAATCAAAAGTAAATATTAGCGGGAGCATTGAAAGGACAAAAGTCAGTAAACTTAAATCCACACACAAATTGTGTTGGTTTTGTCTTTGCTTAGTACATCTTTGGAAAACTACTGGAACGATCTTGTACAATATACTAATTGACAGATCAATTTAACCACTATAATAACATAGGCTACTTTCATTGTAATACACTATTTATAGTTTTACTAACTGTCAACCGCGACTCCGTCCGCGTGGAATTAAAAAAAAACTTATGTGTTCTTCCAAAGTATGTTCTAAATCTATGTCACATTTCAGCGAGTTCTATCCATAAACTTATATCAAAAAACGGCTAAAATATTAACGTATGTTCGTCCGTTGGCTGCACCGACTAGTTTCGTGCCCGTCGGGGGCCCTTCATCAGGGTGAGTGGGTAGATCTATGCAGCCGTTCTGGAGATACCTTCTCACAAACATCCATCCATACATCAAAACATTAATTATTTGTTTATGCTTTTTTATTACAGGTCCTATCTAATATCACGATCACGGCCGACGTCAGAAGAGGCAAATAGAAGATCACGCTGGATAAGAGAGCGGTTGTTGTCTAGGATCTATGGATACATTTTCATCTTGTCATGTATAATGCATTGGCGCGGTGGTTGGGGACTATTTGATATGCTTGTAGCCGCAATAATCCCTGATAATGATGATCCTCATAGGTAATCTGTTTATATATTATACTAAGTGGTCTATCTTTAGCAATGGCCCAATCCGGAAGTAACAGCCCGAGCCGAGGTTCCTTAGGGAGCCCTAGAGTCTTGTTACTCTTAAGCGAGGCTCTGGCTAAGCGCCATCTGCGCTCGGCCACCTCAAGCCCGGTGAAGTTGTAAATGCCTCTTCAAGGCAAACAGTGACTACTCAGTCACAAAAAAAATGGCAACGACAGGCACAAAAGTTGGCGATGCGCGCTGTTTGGAATCCCTATGACATTGTAATGCGTATGTTGCTTAGCGACTAAAAGCGCAAGTTTTTGAAGACTTATGTTGCCTTGTGTATGCAGGGCCTTTGATAAATATTTTAGTAAAAGTATTTCGTATTTGTTTCCAGGCCCGTATTGATAGCAGCGTTGACAGTGTTCCTATACTCTTGCGTTGTCGCACTACGGTCCGCCAGGAACTTGCTCGCGTGTCCATATTTCGTCTACACCGATGGCAAGGTGGAAACATACCAGTTCGAAACGAGATTCCGGAGAAAAGTAAGTACTAAAATCCTTCGTATATATGTAATTTCACTCGGACATGTTCGATTTTGAAGAGTGGATTCGTATTATTATTAAAGTGTTTACTATATCGGCACAATCAAACTTAGGAAACTTGTTTTTATTTTTTATATTTATGGTGTATGTGTGTTTGTATAGGCCCTCGGTCGTTTTAGAAATTAAATGTTTACAATAGTACTCCTGAGATTCCTCTCGCTATACGATGTCACTAGATGACATAAATAGCTGATTCCGCTGTGATCGGTCCTGGCTCAGCACAGAGGGACGATACGACGATAAGTAGCCGCTTCCTACCGCTCCGCGTCTTACACCGGATCGCCTCGCCTTGACCCTGCCTGCCAATGTACTACGACTAATCATATTTTGGAATAAAACTACGTAACTTAACTTTATTGATTTAATTATGATGATAAATCAGGAAAAACTTAGCGTTATAGGCAATAATTTTGCACCAGTTAAGATACAAATATCGTTTCAAGGAATCGGTGTATCGCACCTCAATTCACGTTAAGTTATTTTAATAACGCGGTTACATCAAACGCCATGGCCCGCCGCCGCCACCCCGTGCAAGTCGCGATAGTTGGTAAATACCCGTTATCACTACAAACAGGAGAAAGTTATCGGCGCCGCTTTAAAAAGAGGCTGGTCGGCGGCGGGCGCGGGCTTGTTGCGGCGGCGGGGACGCGCGATAATGCAATTAGAAGCCGTAATCTGCGGCGGCGTGCAGAGCGACAGAGCGACGGCGCACACTCGTACCAGACATGCGTGGGAGCACTGCCGGGCTTGCTGACACGCTCGCGAGCGGTTCGCGCGCGCACCAGGCGCTCCTAGAGATCGCAGACCTGGTCTTCGCCAGCATCGTGGTTGCGCCCGCCGTCGTCTCCTACTGGAAGTCGACATGGAGCCTCATGGACCTGTACGTGGTGCCGGACGAGCCGGTCAGCAGCGCGGCCGCCTGCGCAATCTTCGGCCTCCTCTGTGATCTATTTTTGTGCGTTTTCCAATCTAAACTGGGAAAGTTCCTGACGCCCGAACACGGCTGGTTGACTTATTACGTGTTATCGAGATTATACACTTATGTGGCCGGGGTGGCGTGCGTGGGCGCGTGGCGGGGGGTATGGAACCTACTGAACGAGTGCACAGGAGACAGTGCAAGGACTCTTCTGGCCACGACGGGCGCTGCTACTCTATCGCTGGCCGCGCTCCGGGCCCTTAGGAACATCAGTGCAGCACCGTTCGCCGTTGCCGTCGATGGACCACAGGATTACTTTGATGTCCCAACCATGTTTAGAACGGTTAGTATTACAAAACTGTGTTCGTTGAAAGATCTTTTCACTTATAAAATAATTACAAATATATAAAACAGGTAAATAATTTATACACTTTAGTTCATGCGTAGCAACTTCGTAGCGACGTAGCTACGAAATATAAGACGTAGCAAGTAGATAAAATATAAATCATGAAAAACTTGTACAAATATGTATAAAATAATAAGCTGTCACCGAGGACTCCGTTCGCGCGGAATTAATGAAAAATTTAATAACTAAAAAATTCAACAAATGTGCTCTTCTAGACTACATCCAATCTACATCTATGCCAAATTTCTATGATTGTTTCTAACAAGCATACTAACTTCTGCATTAATATTAGTGAGATTTAATGAATTGTAAAACATTATATCGTTTACATAACTATCATAAAGTATTAGTTTAACTAATATTCGAGTATATATAAATATCACAATAGCGTAAGAGCAGTGTATCAAACAATTCGTTTGACGTTATTTTCTGGATCTGTCCGGTGTGAGGTAGTTACTGACAACGATAACATGGTAGCAAATAGGATTACATAGGATATGTACACAATTGTCTCATAAATCTAAGCGGTTTATAATAAAACAGTGGTATTAAATAAGGGTAATAAATATATAACAAATCACATTACTGTTTACATTTTATTGTGTCAAATATTTGTTGTTCTCAAAGAAATACTGTTAGAGACAGTTTAGTTAAACACCCTTTTTTAACCCTTTAACCCTTTGCACGCTGGTGATTGATATTCCGGACGTGGTTATAAAAGAGTATGTAAACTACTTCCGGTATAGGTACTTTGTTACTTCCAAGTATGTCTGTATATATTATAGAAAAAAAAATCTGTCTGTCTGTCGTCAAATCTACGTTTGTTCCGTATTTCCGAAATTGAATGACCAATTTAGATTTAACTTTTATTGGAAGGAAGCTCAGCTGTGCGAGAGAAACTTAGGATAGTCACTCGTGATAAAAAATAAATAAATTGCTAAATCATTTTTTTTATTTTATTAAGTATGTTATATAATATATAAGTCTTATATATAACATTACAGTTTACTTACCTTAAAATATAAACATATAAAATCTTTGTTTTAATAAGCAACCAATAGATGGCGCTATTCAATTCACTAACGCCCTAGTCTGTTTTTTTTTTATTAAAATAAAGTTATAACACATTTGTTTATATATTTTTATGTTAATTTGGTACAGTATTTTTGTAAACAATCTCATATTACGAATTCTTTTATTCTCAATATTACGTATGTAACCTAAAAATCGACAAACATATAAATACAGGTAAAAAATTGTGTTCAAAAAAAAGGTTTACGTGTCACGAAGTTATCTTGGACAATGAAACCGTAACACAGGTGGGCACGTGCGTGATTGTGATAATATTATATTGAATGTAATATTTTCAACTATAATATTATGTGGACAATACTTAAGTGATAACATTATTGTTATTGAATAATTTATTTCTTGTCACCGTCTTGTCAAATCTTACTTCTTACTAGTGTTATAAATGCGAATGATTAGGTGGATGGATGTTTGTTAGAATTTATCTCTAGAACGGCTCAATAGATCTCATTGAAATTTAGCACAGATGTAGAACAAAGTCTGCAAGAACACATAGGCTCCTAATTGTGGTTAATTCCGCGCGGTAGGAGTCGCGGGTGACAGCTTGTAGTCCAATTATGGTCCGACGAAGTTTTCTGGTGCAGGCACGATTGAAACATAACCGTTCAGCTGTCAATATCAAAATTGTCATACGATTCTTACTGTAACTCTGTTATAAAACCTACTTAGGCATAGAATGACCGTGTCTTGTCTGGTACTCGTTGTCTATACCTATGTAGATTTTACATATGTATTTTCGACGATATGATGTGGTATTTTGTACCTATTTGCCACTAGATAAAATATAGATAAAATTAACTGTCACGTAACAGCAACAGTCGCGGTTAAATCTAGACGAAACAATGCTTTCATTTTCAAGCAATTGTCTATACATTTATAGAATTCAGTGTTGTAATACAGATGATACGAGAGGAGAAACATAGTGTTGTCTTCTGTTCTTTCAAAGAGAAAGTAAGAGATGACAATATGTTTTAATAACACTTCAGTCGGAATCCACATTTAAACTGTTGCGCAAAATAAATTAAATCGATTCCATATAAAACTTCCCCACATCTAGATTATTTATTAATTAATGTGGTCTCAATATCGCGATCAATGCAGCTTAATTGATTAAAATAAGTTAATCCATTTAATTATTTAAAAGATAGTCAGGGAAATTACTTTAATTATGTCTTATATCAATTGTTGAAATGATAATGATATTTTCCCTGAAAATAATTTTATTAATCTATTTTTGACAGTTTTATTGATCGGATAAAGAAAGTTATTTTCATAAAACCTTTAAATCCATAGTTATCTTCAGTGACGACGTTAGAGCGGTGGGGCCCAGAGAGCTGGACATGAAAAGGGCGTTACATGTCTGCGAATTGCACAGTCTCATGTAACCCTCCCCCATAGCGGAGGCATACCCACTAAACCTCTCTGTTCCTCCAACGCATCGGGACGGGGCCACGGGCACGCTTTCGCTCTCGTCCGCGATTTAACCCTGTTAAAATGATAAAAAGAGGGCGCTACGGAAATCTCGCCCAGGGCGATGTTGCTAAAACCTCCCAATTTGTGTAAGAACTGCTTTCTTCAGAAATTAATGTAAAATACATTTATACGTATTTGACATGAAAAAATACGACCTATACAATATTTAATTTGGGTAAAATCTTACGTTGCAAATATGAATAAGAAGTCTCACTAGATGCTGATCCATTATACCAACCAGTTTGGTGACGTCATGTAGGGCGGTATTAAAAACGTAAGGAACTTACGTGCATGCATGCGTAGATATATGAAAGTGGTAGAGTCCTAATACTCCTCGTATTGAGAACACGACAAACAAAAGTTTGTAATCTTACGCGTATGTATTGTGTATTCGTTATTGTAGCTAAGTTGGTCTACTGGAATATTCTTCATGTAATTGCTATGCAGTATATCATTAGTAAAATTATGTGTTGTTTCCAGACAAGCCGTGAGATGGCGCTGTACGTGCTGGATTGCATCTTTTCGGTGACGGTGGTGGGTTCACTAGTGGTATTCGTGTGGCGCGGCTCTTGGGCTCTGTTGGACATCTTCTTGTACCCGGACGACCAGGTCCGCTCTTTCTGGACCTCCTTGGTAAGTACATATCTACTTAAACAACTACTAGAAACTCGCGTGTTGCGTGAAATTTAAAAATATCAGTTGGCTATAGCAGTTCCCCCTGACTTCGTCCGCGCGGAATTTAAAAAATCAAGTACTAAATATAGTTAATTACCCAGGGATATTGTAGCTTCCAAACAGTGAAGGAATTTTACAAATCCATACAGTAGTTTTGGACTCTATGCAAAACAGACGGACAAATTTTTCTTCCATTATTGTTAGCATACATTAGATAGTTTTTCTTTCTTTTATTTAGTTTTTAGCGCTGTTTTTATTAATTGTACAATTGTTCTATTACTCATTTCATTTGACCCAACAAAAGACTGTCGAAATTATGTAGGTATTCAAATAATACGTCGGTGGCTCAGTGGTCAAGCACTTGACTTTCAATCATCAGGTCCTGGGTTCGAATCCCGCCATGTACCAATATGTTTTTAGATTTTCGATTTCCATATGTATATCCGACGTTCTTACGGTGAAGGAAAACATCGTGATGCAACCTGCACATATCTGAGAGGAAATTCAAAGATATGTGTGAAGTCAACCAACCCGCACTTGGCCAGCGTGGTTGACTATGTCCTAATCACCCTTAACTTAGGGTGGGCTCCGAGCCCCTCGGTGGGGACGTATAGTGAGCTGACGCACGTGAGTGATGATATATAGTGAAATGACTCAATATACTTAGTTATAATAGATAATAATATCAACTATTGTCTGCATTAAGAATCTTCTATGTACCTTTTCAAGATAAGTTATCAGTAACATCAGGTCATACGTGAAAAAGTGACAAATGTTAAACTAAATGTTAAGTCAATATACACGGAACTTAAGAAATATTATGATTATGCGCAACAAAGTTCAATATTATCATAATTACAATACAATACAATCTTATATTTTTAAAGCAAATATCTACGATAATGCAATAACATATATTCTAATTAGATATAATTTCTTTATAATATTACAAAGTACTTATTTATAAAAAAAAATATCTTTATTTGTTAATATTTATCTATTTCCACTCACTAATGAATTTATTATACATAAAAATTAATCGACATCACAGGGGACCGAAGAGCTGGCAGCTACCTCGGTCAAAGAATTAGTTTAGCTGTACAGAGGGGGAACGCTGCCAGTATCTTCGGGACCTTGCCTAAAGGGACTCCTTTTAATAACATATTTTAGTGAATTATTCGGTTTTTTTTTTTAATATTTTATTTTATATCATAGATTTAAGACTATATGTAATTATAGAAATAAGGATGCAATAACTATATGTATTTTATTTTCGAACGGAATGAGAGAAATAATAAATATTTTCAAATGTTTCCGTTCAGAAACTGTCGCTCAAGAAAATCTATGAATAGGTGTAATTTTTATTTATCCTTGCAAAGACATGTGATTAAATAGAGGTGATGACTAACTGTCGACTGCGACTCCGATAGCGCGAAATAAAAAAAAATAACTTACTTTATAGCTTACGTGTTCTTCTAGATTATGTTCTGTACCAAATTCCATCGAGATTGGTAGAGCCTTTTTGGAGATACTCTCTAACATCTATGCATCTAAACTTTCGCATTTATAATATTAGTTAAATTTAAAAAAAAAAAACATTTTTAAATATAGAATTCGCTAACCTGGACCTTATTTTTCCGCATGTGGGTCATACTTAGTTCGCCGCTGAGTCAGTGACCACTTACGAGGCAATTGGTGCTTCCTCTTGCCTCTCGCTCGCCCCTCGTCCTCTCCACATGTACTACGACATTGTACGCCTCTGTACCGCTTGTTTGTAAACGTGTTACAATTTTAAGGTCAATATAACAACTAAAACACTATCAACATAACACATATCATAATTGGTAAACCCAGTATATTTAGTTTTACAACATCAAAGATAGTCCGAAGGACCATAAAAGGTTGTTGCACAAAATGTACCAGATTTCAAAAAATAGGTTCCAAAAAAGTTGAAAAACGGTCCACCAGGAGAGCAGAAACACACATACAATAGACGAATACAGTAAAAAAAAGGAAGGGGATAATGTGGGTAGTTTAAAAATAGAACTTTTTAATTTCTTTTTATTTACACAAATTATAACAGTCATCAATCATCATAAAATTGATAGGAGTTATCTATTAAATATATTTTTCATGAAATCATTATAAAAGATATTAATCGATATACGATCATGTAATATCGATTAATTTGAAATAGTTCAAATAGCTATATTACATCATATTTAGTTAGATTAGGATATTTTTGTTAAAACTAGGTAAATTCCAAAATGTATCGGATAAAAAAATCTCGCTTACCTATGCGACATAAACTTTGTTTTACAATATTATTTTATTTTAACTCGGTTTAAAACAAAAGCGTAACACACAAGAGAAATCTGACGCGCTCTTTAACTTAAGATGTGATATTGAAATGATATAAATATTTGAATAACTTCCTAAGCTAAGTAACCTCACGTTCCCCTCAAGTCCCTTCGAAATCGGGCAATACGTTTCGAAGATTATTCGGAACAAACATAGCCTTGCACACATATAGACAGACAGATAAACAATTAATTAAAAAAAATATTGTTATCAGCGAAATTATTTTTGATATTACATACAAACAATCCAATTTTATTTATATATATATATATATATATATAGATTATATTCTGTACGATAGTGTAGTTATCATTCTTGTTGCCTTGTTCACGGTCATGATCAGTAGGACACGTGGGTTGAGGAAATGAAAAACGGTCTGCCATTATGTTCTCCTCTTACAAAATAGTTGTTTACCTCATCAGTTCCCGACGGTCAGCGCGCGGTGAATTGAATAATGACGATGCTATTTTTAGTTCGTTTACGTGGAAACATCTATGTTATCTTCCTTATTTCTTTGTGCAAACAATACTAGTACCTTGTCCTGTGCTTAATGATAATTACTTAAATCAATTATTTATTGTCTCAAGTAATTCGGTAAAATAATGTATGAAATTTTCTATGACTAGCAGTTGACGGCGACTTCATCTGCGGAGAATTTAAAAAAATTCTGGTAATAAATATAGTCTGTTTCGCCCGGGGATAGTATAGCTTTCCAACAGTGAAAGAATTTTTCAAATTGCTTCAGTATTTTCGGAGATTATTCAATGCAAACAATCCAATTTTTCCTCCTTATAATACCACTAATAATCTTTTACCATACCCTTTCCTATAAATTATGTAACCTAACAGAACGTACTCTATACATGAATCAATTCGTTATCAAACATAGCTATCGGTCGTTTCCATGCGTCTGTCAACAAACACTATAATTAAACTTGTTTACAAACAAATCCAGGCGTCACTGTTGTAAAAACAAAGCCGATCATTAAAGGATTATCATCCATACACAGTTCGCAGGCACTTGTTGAATAGTTCGATAAGGAAGTTATATGTTTACAAAGCATTTATGTAAGGCGCCGGTATATCTATTTATTTATATTAAAGTCTACTGTTGTGTATTCGTACTACGTAATTTGAGGCAACATTTATCGTAGCGACAGCGTTGGTCGATTCTTAAATTATACATCTTATTAATAATGCGAAAGTTTTGGTGAAAGTATTGATGGTTGTTTTTGTTGTGGATCTCTACAAAATTTGGTATACATATAGAAAATTGTCTGGAAGAACACATAGAATACTAATAAAGTTTTTTTTTAATTTCGCGCTAACGAAGCAGCGGTCGACAGTTGGTCCTTTAATCTTACTAATATTATAAAAGCGAATGTTTAGATGGATGGCTGCTTGAAGGTATCTGTGGAACGGCTGTACGGATCTCGCTGAAATTTGCAATACGCAGTCTAGAAGTACACATAGACTACTTATGAATATTTTTTTACTACCGCGCGGACGAAGTAGCGGTCGACAGCTAATATTTAATAAAGATTAAATAAAGTCTTAATTAAATTGATTAATTAATGCCAAGGCTATTTATTAATGTCTCGGATAGAATTGGCGTGTGCTCGTCATTATAAAAAACAAAAGCGTATCTTATCACTTTAAATCCATCGGACTTTTAATATTTAATCCATAATACAAAACAACGATAACATTTTACGGTTAATTCAATCCAATCTATCAAATTTCAGATTGATAAACATCAGCTATTTTTTGAACTAGAAAAATAGAAACACATGTAATATGTAATCCTTATGACTCAATTTACAATATATTCTGCAAAATGTCAATAGACCAGTAGATATTTTTTTCGTGGTTTTATTGGCTATACGCCTCTCATTTAGGGAGACCCTGGAGTTGATCCCGATTTGAACAAAAAGACTTGGTCGTCCTAAACAAAACTCGGTGTGTGTGGTTGCCCTTTGCCCCACCAAAGGGAATTAGTACATTAACCTAACCTAACTTCTTTGCAAAGTTAATGCGAAACCTAATTAACTTAAACTACTAATCAAAATAATAGTACACTTGTACCACTTATGAAAATAAAAGTAAAATTTCTTATCATAGTAATAGACTACCAAAGATAAAAACAATTTGTTTCTATCTTTGTTAAGATTTAATATTATCAACGATTTAAGATTATATTTAGATCGTATTATTTATAATCTATATTAATATTATAAAGCTTGACATTGGCCCAATCCGTTGGGGGAGAGCCATAAACAAGAAACAGAACAGAATATTATAAAGAGGTCAGATTTGTTTGTTTACTTCGAATAGACTTCGAAGAACCAATTTGAAAAATTCTTGCACTGTTGGCAAGCTGTTTTTTCCACACGGGACATAAAATAAAAATATATTTTCATGTCTCGATTAGGCTTATTGTTAACATATATGTTTTTAATAATGTTACACTAAATCATTTAGGTGACCGAATTAATTTGATTTGGAAAAATAAGGTTACGATACGAAGTTATGTCTTAAATAACATCCTTAATTGTTGGATTTTTGAACAGTTTTCTAAACTTCGGGGGCAGCTATCTCTTATTTGATAAGTACTTTAACATTTCCATTCGACATATACATAAATATATGCAAATATATATACAAATTAGAAGATAAAAGTATTAAATTATGTTCAATTTAATGTTATCTTCTAATTTAAATAACTTTCATTGAGTATTTATTTCGTTTTTATTACTCTCTTTAAAAATTGTTAACGATTAAAGAATGTTTATCGAATTACGCATATTAATTGTTGAGTACAATATTATCAATTTGAAGACTCTACAAAAGTAATTATTTAATTATATATTTAAGCTATCACGTCATTTATCTTAATGAGGCAATTTCGAGCAATCAATCAACTGTTATGAAATTAAATAATGACGATTAATTTTGGCATTCTTGCCGACACTTACAATTCCTCCTTAAATAAACACCTCAGTAATTATGTAGATTTTATTACTCTGAATCTAACAGTGTTCTTCTCTACCATAACTCTAATTAATTACATTGTCCTTCTCGACTCTAACTCTGATTAATTACATTGCTCTTGTCCACTCTAACTTTAGTTAATAGCATTATAATTCTCTAATCTAGCTCTAGTTAATCACATTGCCCTTCTCTACTCTCACTCTAGTTAGTTATTGTTCTTCTTAACTCTAACTCTAGTAAATAACAATATTTGTTCTCTACTGTAGTTAACATTTTTATTCTATTCTATAGCTCTAGTAAACATTGCTTCGGTCTGTTCCAGGTGGGTGGGTACGTGGTTGTTCTGGTGACGTTTGCGCTGCAAGTACCGATGCGGTGGGCAGCAGCGCGGTTGCACGGCGCGCCTAGACTATTGCTAGTCGATGTCTACCATCTCATGTCTTTTGTGGCCACTGTCAACGTGTGGCGAGGTGTGTGGGGCTTGCTCGATGTGTATTATTTCCCAGGTACAGTGTTTTTAATCAGACTCTGTTCTAATCACATTTTAATACTTACGTACGTTAAAGGAATATTTTACATTCGATGAAATTGCTTAGGTTAAAGACCTCTCAATAGTTAACACCATTCTTTAACAATACACAATTTTTTTCTGTTCGCTTTTTATTTGGATTAAGATAAAGTTAAAACCAGTTTATTGTTAGGGTTTTACCTACAGATGTTTTATAATAATTGTATCATTGTTACAGATCGACCAAAATTTAGCAACTGGTCCATACACATCATAAGTCTCACTCTGCTTATTCTGCTGAACTGTTCCAACTCTATCCTCGTGAGAGGAGTCTACATCGACGCGGAAGAACCCGCGGGAGACTGCGTCGTATTCCCCTGTCATTACCTTCGACTCTTCTTCCACAAAGAGAGAACTAAAAAGAGACACAGCAGGGTACTCGCGGCCGCAGCTTTAGCAGCTGCCAGGAAAACAGAAGAAGCAAGCATGCTACAAACGCCCGAGGAAAAAGTCTAGCAAGTTCTATAGACTATTTGTAGTGCAAATTGTTGTTACTTAGTTGTATCTGATATCCAGTGGCATCAGTACTATGCTGTCCGTGTCCTTGGTATTGTTGTTTTTTTATTTATTAAAAGTGGGATGTTTAAGCATAAATGTGCCTGCATTTTGTTCGTTTTTTGTAAAATATATTTCATAGCTTTACATTGTTAAGTAGAAACTTAACGGTTCAAAGTACATGAATTTAATAACATTCCCGAAACAATGTATGTTCAAATTGTATTAGTACTTCATATTTAGGTTTGAAAAGCTCTTTCCTGCCTTTTAGATATATTCTTTTTCTATGATTTTTTAACACTTATTTTTGCGTAGATCTTGAGATTATTATTTTTAAATAAATGAACCTTTTTCTTCATTCAATAATTCATTTATCAACTGTGCCATAGACTATAGATAATTACATCATCAATTTTTAAACAAATCATCTCATTTTTTGTGGTTTGTTGCATTTATACTAGAAATCTTCATATAATTTTTGCTATTTTGTTTAGAACACGCGTATACAGAAATCGTGAAAGACGCTCTTCGTTTGTTCGTTAAGTTTGTATGTGTGTTTTCATTGGTCCAGAAACAAAAATATGTTTTAGTAAAATAATATTAAGTTTATAAATAGCATCACTATTGTTGTATGTTGCTTCTTAAATGAAAACATAAAAAATATTAAAAAATAATAATTGCTGCCTAGAAACAAAACAGCTAAGTAGTGCAAATAAAAAGTTAGTTATATTACAGCTCAAAATTATGTTCTTTATTACTTCTTTTTTTTTGCACTTGCACTCTTTGTGTTTATTTTAAAAAAAACTATATATTGTGTGTACATATATTGTATATAATATACATATACGATTAACGTTTCGATGTCGAACACAAATATTTAGAGTTTTATCTCTTAATTAAAATATTTAAAAATTTCTTTATGAAATGTAACTTTACGTTAGTTCCTTTTTCTTACGTAATGCAATTTTCACTTCTCCTTATCTTTTTCACGTTGATTAATTTGAGCTTGAATTCTTTATTGGCATAGTATGAATCTCGTACACAGGTGCACAAAATTAGAATTTCGAAAATAGTATATGGCTTGTCTATACGCATTAAAGTCTTTGGTGGATAACAATGAGATAGCAAAATGTTTTGTAAAAAGGTTTCCGTGATTTAAAAACAAAATTTTATGAATGTTTATTTTTTTACACTATTGCCTAAATAAAGATTATTAAATTAAAAACATGAAAAAGACTTAAGCAATTTTTGTATCGCATGTCTAAATGTTCTTAAGACTATGTATTTTCATGTTCATCTTTTGTTATTTATAGACGATTAACCGATTTTTGTTCAAAGATTTATTAGAATTAAATAAGTTAATAGAAGTTAAATGTAAGTATGAGAAGTTGTTGATCTAAGTCAAAGTCATCATTCCACATTTTGTAATATATTTTAGTTTGTATGTCTATGTAAATAATGTAAGTACGTCATGTTGTGAAAGTAACGTATGTAATAAAACTGTTCATAATTGAATATGACGTTTTAATAAATATATCCCGTCCTCTATGTATAAAGACCTGTCTCCACTGACCTGTAAATGGACAGGCTATAAGACGTGGTTTTCTGTGCCTATTCGATATCCGCCATTTTGGCCATGGTAGCGTTTGCCAGCGGTGGTGTGGATTGGAACTAATAATATGAATGGAACTGACTGTCACGTAACATCAGCAACGCGTTTAAATCGAAACGAAAAATAAATGTCATTTCCAAGCAATGACCATTTATAGCAGTAAGTGTCTTTATCTCAATGGAACAGAACATTCTAGAATATGGAATGTGCTCTGGTCGAGTATAGTTTTTTTTTACAAAATATACGTTGAAGGAATGATGAAATATCATTAATTACTAATCCTGTATTATTAAAATTACTTATACAACGAAATGTGTGGCATATAAGAGCGCATATATTATTATGACTAAACGAAATCCTCGACATCCTCTCCTCCGCCGATTAAAGGTAGGCAACGCATATGCGATTGCGTATGTCTATGGGCAGCTGTCACTTTGCTTTTTCAGCGAGTACGGGTGGTCGCTCGCTCGTTTGCCACCTTATCATATAAAAAAAAACCTGGAAAGCTTTTAACGGTAAATAATTAGAAGTAATGGAAAGGAGAGGATAAAAAACAAGAGTTTATTTATAATAGTAATAAATCAAAATAGTACCTATTAATTAAATATTATCTAAAGTCTGTAAACGATTATTAAAATATTATTAATTAATACTCCAAAATTACAATAATTTTGCAATACATGCAAAAGATTATGCAATGTTTAGCCACGCCATAAATAAACGAACCAACTTTTGTATAAAAAGAGAAACATCAAAATCTATTAACCAGGAATAACTCTGAGGTAATATAGACGAATTGAAAACTTCCTGCTTTTATTGAAAATTATCATGATTGTTTAATCCTACTTATAATAGATTTAATCATAATTTAAAAGAGGATTACAGATGCCATAATACTGATCAAAATCATTTTTTAAATATGGAATTGACGTCAATACAAAATCAACTCAATCACTTTATCATGTTAAATTGTTTAAACCTAAAATTAATTTTTTAAAACTAAAATTAATATATATTTAAACTAAGACATTAGCTAATAATCTATACCTTGCCTAAAGGGACTTCTTTTAATAACATATTTTAGTGAATTATTCGTTTTTTTTTTTAATATTACATTTTATATCATAGATTTAAGACTATATGTAATTATAGAAATAAGGATGGATCATAGACAAGTTATTTCCTACTTCGTCCGAGTACAGTTTAAAAGTACAAAATAAACTTTCCCATATATAGAAATTACCGGACAAATTTGAAAAATCTTGAAACCCATAGTTATTTTTATTGTGAGGAGAATTAATGCCAACTCTATGTATTTTTAAACATCTGCTGAAGGAATTACATCTCTGAACCTCCTATTTAAATCTTTAAGGGATGAATTTGATAAAATAGTGTCTTTGTGCGCGCCTACGTAGTAACAGATAACTCAGACCAAAATGTTAAGTCTCTTAGTCTAGAGTATCGTCTGCGTTGATATATACGTCAATAAATCAGTTTGCTATATTACATATAATATAGATAGATAAATAAATAGATAGATAAAGAAATAGTTGAAATAAATCGACAATTACTTATCTCGTTTTTACATAAGTGGCCAGATACATTGTTATGTTTTAAGTTTTATCTTACTTACGCAAATAACTATGATACATAATGATATATAAAAATGGATAAATCTTGATAATATGATAAATGATGGATAGTAACGTTATCTATAGATATCAATCTATATTAGATAATATCTACATTTAAGCCATCTGTTTTAATCTTAATCTGATAGACTAGCTCGTGGAAGTGACAGGATTCAAATTATTTATTATTCAATGTATATATTATGCTTATTAAAGTAATATTTATAGTGCAACAAAGATTTTATCCATGTATATACTTTACTTAACTTTAATATATAATTCTAGAAATATTCGATTCTGTTGGTATAAATGTATTCAGATGTCTTAACGGCTCTCAACTTTGCGCGAAGCAAGCGGCGTGTAGCATGATGCGCGAGGAGGACACAGTGCAGCGCGCCGCGATGATGATTTGGTCCGCTAAGATATTTGAAAATAACAATACACTGGTCCAGCGTAAACTAAACTAAACAGAATAAAAATAATCTTAAAAATCTATACTTTAATCTTAAATGTAATATTATGTATTACTGGCAAATTCAAATTACCTAGCTGTTTAATAATAAGCTATTATGTGCTCATGAAAATAACTCGTTGAGCTTCGTATCGGTTGAAATCAACAGCAATGCAGTAATATAATCTGTTTGATCAATAAATGAGTGCATTGGCACGCTTCCCGATATCACGATAACACGGTGACGTGATCCTTGTCAAATTGTATTTCTTTGTTCTTTAGAGAATAGCTGTCGCCCGCGAGTCTGTCCGCGCGGAATTAAATAAAACTTATTTAGTAGCCTATGTGTTCTTCCAGATGCCATTTTTTCCTTTTATCCTGTGGCAAATTTCAACAAGATCCATTGAGCCGTTCCGAAGATACCTTAAAACAAACATCCATCCATACATCAATTCATCTAATGCGATTTATAATATTTGATAGATATCTAATTTAAAATAAGAACCGTGAAGAACTACTGCAATATTTTCAGAATATATCTAGCACATTTTGACTCATCCGACGAAAAAAGCTACATCTGTTATCAGATTCAAAGATTCAAGAACACTTTCAGTCGGTGAATTTGACTGATGTGTGAGAATTGATAGAGCTTTTTTTTGGTCTATAAATACAATTATTTTAAACTTAGTGTGTAATAATAAAGATTTTAATTTGTGCTTGACGTCCTGCCTATAAGCCTGTTCACTTCTTCCTTTACATATTCTGTTCATATTCAAAGTAAGACATGTGTCGGCAGGAAATGTAAAATCAAACGTTGAACGATAGTGATTTGCATTTGCATCAAGCGTATTGTACATTTGTAAGACGTAATCCGTAGTTAATTCATGAACAATGTAAATACGTGACATTATAGTGTGGCAAATTGTTAACTTTGAGACAAAGTAAAGTGCATTGTAAAAATGTATACGCGCGGACATCTTATATTATTGAGAGAAACGGAATTGTCGTGCGATAATACTTTAGTTATTTACATATGAGTTGCTTGTAGGTATATAAATATATAATTTAATTATGGATTTAGATTACAGTTGAGATCTCACTTCCCTCTTCCGTAGTTACTCTCGGCAATATGTATTCTACTTTATCTCTATCAGCCGTCATATTTGAATTGAATAGTTATAACTAAGCTTAAAGGATGAAATTCATGTCATAAACATGACAGATAAATCTTAGCAGTAAATCAGAGAGAAGAGGGGAATAATGAGTTCAAGGGGATCACTCGAGTTTCACATTTACATATCACGCAGAAATATTTGGCAACGCTGGTATTGCTCCAATAATATAAGCATAAACACGAACAAAAAATAAAAATATAAGAAAAAACAAATTATATAACTAAAATCTTTATTATACAACTCCTAAAAACGTATGCTAAAATCATTATAATCGAAGCGTGTCAAATAGACCCAGTTCCTCAGCTCACATCTGTCTATCTTACAGCCAGGGGATCCAGTGGTGCTCAGCCAATCGAGCCTGCAATCATAGAATAATCTAACATAAACATTATTAAGAGGATATCACTACGTAGGGAATCTTATATGAACCGATTATTTCGTTAAAGTTTAACTAAAAACAAAAGAAAAACGAAAAATCTAATTTAAATAATTCTACTTTAATGCATATTAATCTGGTATACGAAAAAATATAGGCTAATTTCTTAAACGTAATGTTTTATCGATACAAATGTCGCTACTACACACAACTATGATATAAATTGTGTCATATTCAAACCTTTTAAGTTAAATGAGATCTTACTCATTTAGTAAAGCCCAGCCGCAAATATTATTCTGGTCTCGCTGACCCTTATTATTAGAGGACTCGAATCATATTTGTAACCAATAAACTAGCATCTAATGCGCTTACATATGTTCCAATTCCGCTTTCCTCCCCTGCAATTTGCCCACAATTGTTCCCATCTTGGTATTCTTCACCCAACCAGTGATACCTAGCTGCAGCGCAAGATCCTTGCAGTATTTGGTGAAAAAACATCCTGCCAATTAAAAGATACCAGTTATTAAAAAACAAAAGAACCCAACTAACTATACCCCATCCTATAAATAGATAGGCTATTGCTTGGAAATGACAGCATTTACCTCGTTCTTAAACACACCTGTTAATGTTACATGACATTTAATTCTACCTATATTATTAGTTCGAATCCACACCACCGCTACAAACCGCTACCATCAGCGCCAAGATTGCGAATATGAATTAGGCACAAAATACAAGTGTTATAGCCAGTACATTTATAGAGGTTCTCTACACCTACAACACTCTGGGGAAGAGGTGAAATTAACATCTTACTTTTTAAAATAAGTCAAGCTGTTTATGCTAGAGGTAAACACTGAATATATGAGTTATTGTATTTTACGTATATAACTATAGATTTATTGATCATATAACATGAAACATTCAGTTTAATTAGGTCAATCTGTTTGGAGGCGGAGTGAATTATATTTATTTAATAATAAACAGTATTAGATACGTCTCGATCGATTGCATTGTAACTATTGACGTCAAATCGAACCTTGATCTGTTGAAAGTACAAAGATTTATCGAATAATCTTGGTACTTGAAAGTCGCCAGTTACTACTCAAAAACTATTAAAAATAAAAAAAACACATAAAGCGGTTCGGTAGTCAAATGCACGGTTGCTTTGTCGAATTATTCGAAAACAGTAAACTAAATCTAGATAGAATCAGTTGTTAGGTCTAATTTTAGTCTAGATTATTGACAGCTGGCCATAGTCCAGAACATCTGTCATAGAAATGGTTTCACTTGCATCCAAACATTAACGATAAACATTGTATTATTACGTCATTCGGAAATACTTCATTTGTTTTCTTTATTTATTGAACTATGAAGTAACATTAAAAAGCAAGACATCCTAAATCTTACTAATATTATAAATGCAATTGTTTGGATGGATAGCTAGATGGATGTTTATTTTAAGGTATCTCCGGAACGGCTGAGTGGATCTCGCTGATATTTGGCGTAGGTAAAGATCATAGTCTGGAAGAACACATAGGCTAGTCATAAAGTTTTTTTTTTAATTACGCACAGACGGACTCGCGGGTTACAGCTAGTATAATACGTTTACTTGGCATATTATGGTATCATAGTAAACATAATATATAAAAAGAAATCCTTTACAGACTTATCTATTAATAATATATAAACATTACGCAGTACACATTATATAAACCTTTATATATTTACCTTTTATTTATTATATTACCGTTTACCTATTATTAAACAACTATTTATATATTTGTGTTGTTTGGGAAAGTTGTTTACCATTGGTTTCCATTGCAGAAACATTTACAGTCTTCATGTCTTATTCTCATTATTAAAATTTAAGTAACAGTATTGATGTATTTACGTTTATGCAATAGAAACCCATTTATTGAGTATTTTTTCTATTCTACAAAATTTTTCATAAAAATAACTGCATTCATAATTTTTAATTATAGTTTATTAAAGCAAAATTACTATGTATTTTAGGTTTCATTAAGTACTCCATATCGATGCTTAAGCATTTTCTAATTAACAAAATTTAAAGGACAACAGACAATAAATAAGCAATTAAGGTTACATAAATATGTCAATAAAAATTTTCCAATTTAAAATCTTATCACGGTAAGGATTGGCTGTACATATTATATTCCATGATGTTCTTCTCATTGTGTTATTTAAAAATATATTTTTAAACGCTTCACGAGCCGCAGATATTTCTGTGATTTTCTCGTTGTTCTCTGAAAGTTGTCAAATAATCTGCTTCTATATAGTTATTATGTAATTACATAATTTCACAATGAATACATAATGTCGATTTATATTTGTTGTACCCTCGTTGTTACCCGCAGACTTTTTTGCTACACTGAACAGTTTAGGTGCTCGAATATGTTAACTTTGAGTTAATTAGTTATACAGTAGATAACTCATAATAGTGGATTTTAAGACAATCTCTCAAAACTCATACTCATAAACAAACTTAATCCTAAAGTCTGAATTTTGGAAGCTTACAATCATCTTTTTGTTATTTTTGTTTTATCAGAATAGTAATAAATCAATCTATAAATGCTTTTGTACATAATAGCTTTATTAATGGAATTAAAACGTAGAAAAAGTTATATAAATTTATAACATTTACTGCTTTAAATATCAAAAATTATTCGTTTTTAAAATCACAATAAATCTCTATTAAAGTCTATAAAAAGTAAGTAAAATAATAAATAAGAACAAACCTTGTACTTGGCCGAAAACCTCAAACTCTACCGACAGTAAAGTATTAAGATCATCCGTGCCCATATTTCCCGCAAAGAATATAAATCCACGCAAAACTTAACACGAAATAACTCAATAAGCAACTTCCGTCAGCCGCACTAGCTGCATACTGCCGCCCGCCCAAACTGAGCACCGCCCGCCCTGAGGCTAATTACACACAAGGGTAGTGAGGAATAACAAATCACATTGTAGTACTGCTATTGTTTCACCGCATAATGTCAAGCAAGAACAGTATCCACTATTTGACAGTAACTATGGGTTGACTTACTTTTCCACACACTTGACTTAATTCATTTAATCATCCCTTTCATTATCTTCTTACTGAGACTACTATTGGAGTATTACGGCAGTAGAAATCTACTGTGAATGTTTGTTTTAACAATAGAAGTACCGCAATATCTACTGCTCTGCCTCACTGTTCCTCCCTCGTAAGAAAGTAGCATTACTTCTGCCCTGACGCCAAGTTTCAGTTTATTTATACACTCGCCGACAGAATCGATCACGAAGTTTCAAGATCAATGATAATAGCAATAAATAGCTAATTAAGAAGCTATTTATGTTTACAATGTAAACAACAGAGTTGCGATGTTAGAAAAAATAAGAGTGGCTTATTCCCATTACTTAGGTACTGTGAAAGCGGTGGTTTTTTCAGGAAATCAAAGTGGAATCAAATATAAGATAAGGCATTGAAAATTACTGTAAAAAAAATCATTTTAGATTCTAGTAAGTAAAAATTGAACTAACATCAAATTGACTGCTAATTGCCGTTGCTATGGTGAAGGCAATAAAATATTTATATTAGTCAACCTTTTCATTCAGTGGATTTTTTTAGATGTATCCAAACTCAAAATATAGGCTTTATAATAAATCCCAAATGGATAAGGTGGTTCTTCGTCTTATTTTATGTTATATGGGTTATTAAAGCACTCATCAGATGAGATATGAGATCTTAAGATTAATAAAACTCTAGGTATCATTAGGACGTGATATTCCGGAACTTGCGGGAGGGTCGGGTTGTGACGTACAGCGTGTGATTGTGTCGCGAGCTCAGTTCGCAGCGCATTACTGCATCGCTAATTGATCACCTCAATGACGATGCCAACGTCATAAACATTAAAATTCACTCACCAGACAGATCCACTTTCCGCTACAAACATAAGGTACATACATTTTACTAATATTATAAATGCTAAAGCTTGCAGGATTGTATAGACGGCTGTTTCTCAGAGGGTATTTATCTCCAGAAAGTCTAAACGGATCCCATTGAAATTTGGTACAGGTGTGGAGCATAGTGTGAAAGAACACTCAGGTTACTAACTTTTTTAATGCGGACTGAACCGCGTGCGATATGTATGTAATATAAACACCTGTAATGTTTAAAATTCGCAAATAATTACGATTCAGTAGTCGCTGGATGAGTTAAGCGGTTGACCGCATACTACAGAATACATATCAATAGAATTTTTTTATTCATTATACCAAAATGATTACAATGCCATTAGGTTTGTAGACAACGTCCAATATGCTTATGGAGGATCTCTTAAGCAAGGGGTATTCCTCCCATATACTCTTACTACAGCAACGTCTATTATACGTGATACATCGCCCATCTCGCTGTGGAATTGTCGAGTAACTTATTTCCAGCAGTATTACCATACCACCTTAGAATGTACTCTTTAGTACTACGACCGCAGTTTCTATCTAGTCGTTGTTTATTGGCATTAATTAGAAATTAATTAAAAAAACTTTTAATTTAACGACCTTCAATTCACGTGTAGATGTGTTTTCCAAACATGCTTTGGTTACCATAGAGTTGTGGCGTTGTGATGTGTCGACAAATGAAAATCGACGTAGGCCGTGGGCGGTGGGCCGCGCGCCGGACGCGGGGGCGCGGAGTGGTCGGTTCCGTTCGAGCAATTACAATTGTATGATTGGACGCTGATTGAAAAATCAGTTTCCTAATCAACTGACCGGTGACGTCACCCAGGTGAAGCAACCGCACAAAACGAAACGCGCGGGAACAAAAGAATACGCTTGGCAATTACTATTGATCTTATCTTCGTGTTCAAATATTTGGGTTTGTGTAACAATTTTAGAATTAATAAGGCTTATGATAACCTAATCCATACTTCGTAAAATATTAGAACGGAAAACTATGCCTACACAACATATCTAATTATTGTTTTTTCAAGGTGTATACAAATGATGTAAAATGCCAAACCCGGTACCAGTGAATGGAGAACTTGCCCGAGAATTGTGAAACGCTAATGACAGGAACCATGGTTAGCTCTAGTTCTTTATATTAAAGACAGCAAACCTTAGTTAAATCAGGCATCGAACTCGTACTTATAGATTACATCTATAGTATATTTTAATAAATATTTAACCAACAATATTATAAGCAATCGCCCTTAGAAGTTGTAACATAGTTACAACAAAAAGTCCTACGATAATTTCAATAAAAATTAAATCAAATCATGAAATTAACATTGTACATTTAAAAAGATAATTGTCTCCATACCAAGTATGCTCTAGTGTATTTTGCTATTAAAACAAATTAGGCGTTTTATAAACCAATATGTTTTTCTGCAAGCTCTTTTACCGTACAAAAAAAATTTTTTTGCTAATAACAATGTAATTAAAGCCTGACCAACAAAATAAAAAAAATCTGCAAGGATGCTGAATGAAAAAACCCCTTTTATGAGGGCGCTACAATCTTCATTGATATTGCAACACTTTATAAATACTTCAACGTCAATACATCAAACGAACTAATGTCATTTAAAATTAAAATTCTGTGTTTAACACGTATCCACCGTTAATTGCCTATAATTACATAAATAAGAATCAAATATTTTTTGTTTTCTATTTTCTTCATAATTAAGGAATTTATAGTTATTGCTTTATCTACTGTGGTTAGGTTACCTGTCAAAACAAGATATACAGTGACAGTGACACTGACAAATTTTAACAATTTTCGTGAGATCATGTTCAATATTCGTGTTTCTGTAAGCTTTTTGTCGAATTGATCTATTGTATGTGAAACATTCTGTCTAGAATCTAGATGGTATACATTGTCCATAAGAAATTTGTCTTCACATAACACGTAAATTAATTTTTATTGCGGATTTTTAAGTGAAGTACAGAAAGTATTTACCGGGCTTATTCAAAATGACTAAATGTAATAGTGGAAACGCGAAATTGGATGCTGCTGTGGAGAGTTGGTTAAAACATGATAAGGTCTGTAAAGTTATCTTCTAAGTTTTTGTAGTCTTAACTAGCTATCAATTTAGTGATCAATAGAATAATGGAGTGTTCCAGACACATCCGACGTAAACCAGTTTTTTAATACCGGCTTTGTTACAAATTTACTTTTAATTCAAATCAAAACAGTAAAATAATTTAAATGTGCATAGTGAAATTATTTAATAAATCATGCTCATTTTGAATTATTCTTCAATCTGTATTTTTTTTTTCAAGGAGAAGATCTAATAAATTAGAATAAATAAAATTGAGATTGATTAAGATAATTTTTTTTCTACAAAATAGTTTTTTTATTTGTTCGTTTTTTTTTAAGAAAATACAAATGTAAAATTTATGTTAGTGTTATCTAAAATCAATGTAAAATATTCCTAGTACTGTTTTTTTGTTTTCAAATTAATTAATTTTGTAGATGTTATTTAAGAGCCCACAGATTGTTTTGTTATTTTAAAACTGTTAATTATCTTAATCTTACTAATATTATAAATGGGAATGTTTGAATGTATGAATGGGTGTTTGTTTGAACATGTCTCCAGAATGGCTTAAAGAATCTTGATGAAATTTGTTGAAAATAGTCTGAAATAACACAAAGGCTATTAATTAAGTTTTTTTTTAAATCCCATACGGACAGAGTAGCAGGCAACAGCTAGTTTCAGTATAAAGCTTTGTCCAAATCTATCATTGTCAGTGTGTCACTGTATGACCTTATCTATTATGATGAAAAATATGTAAATAATTGCATAATTTGTGGAACATATGTGAATCAAGGTCAAGATATTATCAAGATGATAATGTAACATATGTTTTTATTACGTTATTGTCAGTTGGCATTATATGAACTTGTCAATAATCATTGTATGTAGTTTATTTCTTACTAAAATTATAAATAGGAATGTGTAGATGTTTTTTTTTATGTTTTATAAGCTAGCGCTTGACCACGATCCCACCTGGTGAATGGATAGATGTTTGTTATTAGGTATCTCTAAAATAGCTGAACTGATTATGCTGAAATTTGCAATAGATGTAGAACATAGTTTGGAAAAACCCATAGGCTAGGCTAGTAATCATTTTTTAATTACATGCAGTTGGAGTTGTGCAAAAACTACGACACTGAGACATAGATATATATTGCTATTAAGTAAATAAAAATATATAAATTAAATTGTCACATTTACATTCACTTAGCATGTTTTACAGTCCTTATGTAATAAATAGATACATACATATTTCATATGTCATGTAAGATATGCCCTTGGTTATGATGTGAAGAAATGTCCTTTAATATTATCCTTAGAGCCAATTATCACTAAGCAACAAACCAATATTTGAACAATGCATGTCAGTGGAAAAGGACTCTAAATTAAATTTGAGTTAATTCCAAACTTCAGTTTATTCAATCTTATGTATAAAAATGTACAGAATCCTACAACACGTCAAGAAGTACTTGATGATATAACCAATGCTCGCTGGGAGAAGTTGGAAGGATGTATGCTGCAGCGACAAAAGTTTGGCACAGCTGGGCTGCGCGGGCGCATGGCCGCTGGGTACAACTGTATGAACGATGTTGTGGTCTTACAGACTGCTCAGGTGAATTTTAAATGTTTTAGTAATTGTAAGACTGCTCAGCTCTTACATTATATTCCATGATAATCTAAGATCCAATAAATGCTAAACTTAAAGACATTGAAGGGACAAGCAATAAAGTTATGACCAATATTTGTAAGGTTGTTAATTATAGTATGTAGCTTGCATCAAGGATTTTTGTTTTCCATAAATTTAAATATAATTTTTTGAACTAGTGGCATAAGGCTATTTCTAGTCTATTCTCTACTGGTAACTGGAAAAATTT